TGGAGATTTAATAATTTGTGACTTAACACTCTCTGGTACAATCCAAGAATCCGTATGTCCTACAGGATGTATTTGTCTTTCATATGTTTTCAGCCAAGATTCCTTTAAGTACCAGTCCGAGCAGAAATTGGACTTCTTGATGTTTCTCTTCTCGATAGCTGCAATTGCATGTATACATGGTAATTCATCAAATTGAAACTGAAAACAATCACATGTTCTTTTGTTTAAGTCCACCAAGAAAGTAATTACTTCTTCCTCAACTCTAGAACGCCATGAATCAACAGGGAAGACCTTCAAAGTTGAAAAACTATAAGTTAGTACATTATGTTAAATTATCATTAAAATAATAAGCTAAAGTAAGAACATAATACTTACATTTAAAGTAAAAGCTAAATCTATCTTTTTCTTCAATTCCTCTTCTACCCAACAAGAAACGTCAGAAAAAGTTCCTTCTGCTTCATTTCTTCTTTCATAAAACCAACGTTGTAGCTTCACTTGGATGAAATCCATCATTCTTAATATAGGAAACTCCCTTGCTTCTAATAGCACAAAATTCATTGACTCAACTATATTTATTGTGGGCATGTCATATCTTCATCATGGACTACAAGAACGTACCCACCTTTCCGGTGGTTCTTCCATCAAGAAGTCAAAAGTCTTCTTATCAACTTTTGCTATATCTGACATGTATAGATCAAATTCTTTGCGCATGTATACTCTTGCAGCACTTTGGAAAAGTTTTATGACCTCACTTTTCACTTTCCTTCGCTTTAGGTTCTGCTCCAAATGATAGATACAAATCCCATGGTGGCTTTCAGGATATACCTTTGCAATGCCATGTGCAATAGATTGATGCATGTCCGATAAAAAAATTAAATTGTCACGGCTCCCAATTGCATTGCGAAGCTCACTAAAGTACCACTCATAGGAATTGTTATTTTTAGATTCTGCAATTCCAAAGGCTAGTGGGAATATTTGGTTATTTGCATCCTTTGAAACTGAAATCATTAAAACACCACGATATTTTAACTTCAAAAAGTTGCATCAACAGCAATCACTGGTGTACAATGATTCCAACCAGCTATTGATGATTCATATGCATAAAACATATAAAGAAAANCTTTTTAACTGCACACATCAAAGTTAAGGACACCATCTCGTTAACTTTTTTACTGCACACATCAAAGTTAAAGACACCATGTCCTTAACATTTTTACTGCACACATCAAAGTTAAGGACACCATGTCCTTAAGTTTTTCACTACACACATCCAAGTTAAGGACACCATGTCCTTAGCTTTTTCACTGCACACATTAAAGTTAAGGACACCATGTCCTTAACATTTTCATTGCACATATCCAAGTTAAGGACACCATGTCCTAAAGTTTATAAAACAGACTAATAAAATTTTTTTTGATTGTTTACCTATTATTGTCGTCTATCTTTATGTTAGTGTATGTTCCCGGATTTTTACTTTTTATCATATACAAGTATGAAGACAATAATTCATAATTCTCTTCAGGAGTTCCTCTTATTAAAGCTGAAGCACGTTGAATAGTACGCCACGCCTTGTGATAACCAATGTCTAGTCCATGCAATTTTTGCATTTCTGCCATGACAAAGGCTGGTGTAACTTCAAACCTTGGGTCTCGAAGATTGTCGATAATGTAACCACTAATCAACTTTGAAGTTGCATGCCTTTGATCAGCTTTCATAGTGTTAACTGAGCAGTCATGATTTTTCTCAATCTTTACTATCTTGAATAGTGTTGAATCTTTAATTCTGAAAGTACGCATACACCACCCACACCTATCATCATTGCATTTCAATGAATATCTTGTTTAGATTGATCTAACAACCTTGAATTCAAAATGTCCTTTAATTGCTATACTAGAAAATCAGTTAATTATACTCTTCTTTTTGTCAAATATTGATCCCGCTTTTATTTCATCCAACGAAGCATTTTCTCTTAATATCGTAGTTGGGGATTCTTTTTGTTTCGAATTTGAGCTTTGTCTAGTTAGTTGAGTAAAGCTTTTTTCAGCAACTTCTTCTATTACTGGTGCACTCTCTATGACTTGAATACCCAAAGCTTGTTCGTTATCAATATCTATAATGCTTTGTCCTTCTACTTGAATAGAATCAAATGTTTGAAGCACCTCTTCAGTTATTGGTTGAGCTTCAACCACATCTATTTCCATTATCTGTTGGCATTTGTCTTGATTGTCTTGTTGAGTTTCTGTATTGACATGTTCAAAGGTGCTTATAAAATCAAAAACTCTTTCCGAAATATCAACAATGAAACGACAGCCCTTGAAGAGTGAATGACTTTTTAGTAACTCTATACATGTGTGAAGATATAAATCTTTGAATACAAGCATTCCCTTGCTTGTTCCCAGATTGATATCAAACCATATCATTGCTTCAAACTTGTCTCTATCCAATTCAATAACTTCAAAGACCTGGTTAATGAAATCTTCAAATCGAATTGCCTTAGGTACTAGAACAAGCTTTGTTTGATGATCATGATACTTATAGTCTGCAGTCCATATACCATTAAAAGCAACTATAATACATATTGTATCCATCCTGCAAGTCAAGAAAATGGGAAATTCAGGACATATTTATACAACAATCATGAAGTTAAGGACAAGATGTCCTAAACTTTATCAATACAAGTTGCAAAACACAGGACACTATGTCCTTAATATTTAGAACAACAGTCATGAAGTTAAGGATATCATGTCCTAAATTTTATCAATACAAGTTGCAAATACAGGACACTATGTCCTTAATATTTACACAGTAGTCATGAAGTTAAGGACATCATGTCCTAAACTTTATTAGTATAGGTTGCAAAAATAGGACACTATGTCCTTAATTTTTACACAGTAGTCATGAAGTTAAGGACATCATGTCCTAAACTTTATCAGTACAAGTTGCAAAAACAGGATACTATGTCCTTAACTTTGAGGTGTGCATTGTAAAAGTTAAGGACATGATGTCCTTAACTTCGATGTGTGCATTGTAAAAGTTAAGGACAAGTTGTCCTTAACTTTGATGTGTGCAGTAAAAAAGTTAAGGACATTGTGTCCTTAACTTTGTTGTGTGCAGTGAAAATATTAAGGACATGGTATCCTTAATATTTAGAACAACAGTCATGAAGTTAAGGACATCGTGTCCTTAAATTTATTAATACAATTTGCAAATACATGACACTATGTCCTTAATATTTAGAACAACAGTTATGAAGTTAAGGACATCGTGTCCTTAACTTTATTAATACAAGTTGCAAAACACAGGACACTTTTATCCTTAATATTTTTTAGAACAACAGTCATGTTAAGGACACCAAATCCTTTACATTATGTCCTCAATATTTACAGAACAATCACAGAGTTAAGTACGCGATGTCCTTAACGTTATCAATACAGAAAAGAAGAAAAAAAATCAAATTCCTAGCATCTTATTCTTCAGTAACGAAATAAAAATCCACATAAACACACAAAAGCATATAGAGATATCTGAAACTTTAGAACTTACTATAATTTTATGGTGAATTTTGGACGAGAAAGTTGAATTCTATACTTAGAAAAAAAGTTTGAAATCGGAAGAGAAGCTTCTGCAATTTTGGACGATCACAACAATTCTCTGCACGTAAGTTTGAGCTGCTGCTGATCGTGAATAAGGAGCGTATGTATCAGCGAAATCCTATATAGAAGAAGGGTATTTTTGTCCTGGCGGGTAAACGTTTATTAAAGCAGTGGCTAAAGACTAAATATATTTAAAACAGTGACTTAAAAGTAAATACATGTATTATTACTGGCTAACTGTGCACATCGCCCATTTACCGAGTGCGCACCCGAAGGATAGCGGCTACGGGTTTCTATAGCAATTTTCAAAAAAGATATAAATCATCCGAAAAAGCATATGCAAGAGATCTGTTAGATGCTCCGTTACACTAGGAGTATGGCTGTCCAGCGGGACGGGACGGGACGGGACGACATTTAGCCAGGACTGTGGCGGGACGGGACGAAATGGGAAGGGACAAATGGGACGAAACGGTAGGCCCATCTCGTCCCGCTAACAAACGGGACGGGACGGGACGGACGGTAGGCCCATCCCGTCCCGCTAACAAACGAGATGGGACGAGTTCGCGGGCCTTAAGTGCCATTTTTAAAAAAATTATTTAAGCATTGAGTTTGACAACGAATATTCTTTTGGCAATGACTAAGTTTTTAAAGTTTGCAACATCTAGTTTTTTGACTTATTTAATAAATTTAAAAATTAAACAAAAATTAGGAAACTAAGTAAAGAATTATAAAATATTAAAACAAAAGACTTGTAATAAAATATTCTAGCAATTATAAATATATAATAGAGTTATAATTTATTTAATATAATTTCAATCCATTAAGTAACTAAGTAAGAGTGTAATTCATAAAACAAATTCAACGCTTAGAGCCTTTTATTTTATTAATAGAACTTTCAAATCTCACATACAAATATAATTCTTTTGAAGAGCACCTAATCTATGCAGCCACCTTCTAGGAAGGGTTCTGTTTAAACTTTGAACTAGGCCTCTTAGTAGCCAATAAAAAAGTATCATACTAATATTTATAAGCTCCTATATAATTTCGTTGTAACTTATCTATAATTTCTCTTGGACATTGTTCTGGAATTGGCAATGTTGATTGATGTTCCATGAGTTCTATGCCGTCATCGCTCCCAGTGCTAAGTATCTCATTGTATTCTTCTTCTTCCCTAGTAGTTAATCTTTCAAAACCAAGATTTCTTCTTTCTGAATTAATCCAATCTCTGAATAATACGGAAATCTCACTGTATTCTCTGCTTGTGTTGCGGGACTAGTGAGTGTTTTATTTAATTCTTCTTCCTCATTTTCTTCATCCTCATTTTCTTCGTCCTCAATAAAAATATCCTTGCCAAATTGTCTTTGTAAAGTTTCATGATCTAGTTGTTCTCCGAAATTAATATTATAACATGCGGGGGGTTGGAAAAATGAAGTTTCATCAACATGAGTCATTTCATCTATATGTTTTCTAATTATAGGAGAAGGGCTAGGATTAGGACTAGGATTAGGATTACTACTACTTTCACCTTTACTACTTTTTTTACTAGTTTTTTAAAATACGCCAAATATATTTTTATGTGCCATAATTTAAATACGAAATTAAATTTAAAAAGTTAACACAAAAATTAAAAACACAAATGAAATACGAAAATAGAACACGTAAAGTAAGCACANGGACGGGACGAAACGGGACGAAATGGGACGGGATAAACGGGACGAAATAGCCATCCCGTCCCATCCCGTGTCCCGTTTAACATGGGGCCATCCCGTTTAAAATTAAGTGGGACGGGACGGGACGCGATGCGAGACGGGACTGGGACGGGACGGGACCCGTCCCGTTGGACAGCCATAACTAGGAGGCACGACTCAATCTCCTTTTCTTTCAAAACCCTAAAACCCTTCCCTGCCGCTTCCTATCTGTGACATATAATTCAGTTATATTACTAGTACTAGTATCTTAGTTGCACTAAACCCTAGGGTTGTGAGAATGAAACAATTTCACAGCGTAGGGCAGATCTACCCAACGAAATCACTATCACTATTCTCGCAAAATTAGCAGTGAAATCCCTTTTAAGATTCAAGATTGTTTCAAAGCAATGGCATTCTTGGATTTCACATCCCGAACCCGAGCTCTCAAAACAACGACAAGGAAGAGCAGAAGCGATTTTGAATGATGGAGGCGCATTGGAAAGCCGTATTTACAAGAATAAGTATTTAGAGCCATGTCTAAGATTGTTGGGTTCTTGTAATGGTCTCGTACTCATAATAAGCGAAAACAAGCATATTTTCTTGTGGAATCCTGCTACTCGATTTTCCAACAAAGTGATTGAACTCTACCTATTGATAAGCGATGAACATGTTATAAGTGCTGGGGGACTTTGTTTCGACTTCTCCAAGAATGAATACAAGGTACTTCTCTACGTATACAATAAGTCCGTCTATGCTAGTGATGGTGCTTATGCTTTGGTTGCAAGTCTTAAAGACAAAAAGTGGAGACGCATCGAAATCCCCTATGATATGTTCTCGGCCCGTGATGGGATCAAAATGCATGGACGGCTTCACTCTAGGACAAATCTCGAAGATAACTATTTTGACATGCATGAGAGTTTAGTCGGAAGAAATAGACTTAGTCCCGATTGGCGTAGCATGGATGACGATGATGAACCGGGGGATGAAGATGCAGATACAAAGTGGAAATATTTCTGACTTTTTGGTCCTCAATATGAGGTAATTTATTTTGACGCCATCTCAGATAATTTCCACTTGCTTTTTTATTTTTGCTGGACTCTACCTTGTTTATTTGATGAGCAAAAGATACAAAGTAGGGGGCATAAAACCAAAACCTTTGGGAATAAAGAGCCAAACACATGTAACAGTAGTTGACTAAGACCTAGGCTTTGGGTTGTGCGAGCACATTACAAAAAGGAGAGGGAAGAGCTACCGGAGGACTGAGGATTCGAGTACATTAATGTAGCTCTGCCGATGGTGCATATGGTGGTTAGAAGAACCAACCAGAATGTTTTTTTGCCCTTATCCTAAAAGCTGGAATTTGCATTCTGTCCATTCGAATGGCGCCTCTAGCTTCATTAGGCAAATTAGTTTCATTGAAGAAAAATTAACTATCAGAGATTGAAATGGCATATTTGGATAACGTGTCTGCCACCTCATTTCCTTCCCTGAAGCAATGCTTTATAGATATGCCATATTGAGATACCTTGTTTTGGATTGGGAGATATCATTGTGTAGATTTCATGGAGGGTTGAATTTTCCTAGTATCATATTGACAACCAATAGTGAATCAATTTCAAGGGTGAGGTTAGTGCAGTTTTGATTGCAGCACCAAAGGATTCCTTTTAGAGCCGCTTGAACCTCCGAGTAATTGTTAGTTAAGAATTGGATAGGTGCTGCATAGGCCATTACCATTTGTCCATTTCTCTTCCTAACAACACCACCAACATCTGTTTTACCCTTATTAACCATGTAACTTCTGACTGTGTTCAGCTTCCATGCATCCCCTTCTAGCATGTCCCATTTAACCATCAAACTTTAAATTTTTGGCATGTAGGCTTCTACAACTTGACATACTTTGCTCCGTGGCTATTCCCAATCCATTTGACTATACTTTTTTCCAAAAGAGACCTTTGCCTGAAACAACACTTGTTTGCATATCCTGAAAGTTGATATTAATTGGTTTTAATATTTCTTTCCACATTTTGCCTTCCATAATTCCCAGCATACAATGTTTGGGGTAATTTGTTGGAGAAATTTGTGGATGGAATTCTTTACTTGCATGCTCCACCATTAGTTTATGATGCTGAAAATTGTGCTACCTTGTGGTTGGAATCCTAGAGGTGTAGCAATGATTATCCATATCCTTTTTGTTATCTTGTTACTAGCAAATAGGTTATTTGTAGTTTCCTCTACTGGAGTCCTGCAACGACAACAATTAGCTAGAGATAGTATTAATGCCAATTTTTTGTAGCATTACATTTAATGATAATCTGTTTTTCAAAATTCTCCTAAGTGTTTGAAGGAGATTTTGAATGGCAGATCTTGGCTACTAAAGGACTAGATCTATAATGATAGGGGACATCGATTCCGGTGGTGAAAGTATATAAGTAATAGTGAAATATCATTTTTACCTAAATTATTGAATGTATAATATAGATCTTAATCATTAAGATATATTCAGACTCATTAAGTGATTGTAAAATTGAAAAAATAAAATAAAAAGACTTAATCGTTAAGATCTGAATGATTAAGACTCAGATCTAAGATACAGACGCACTTAATGACTGAGATCTGAATGATTAAGATTCAGACCTCCATTAAATGCAAACAAATGAGGGTTGAGTAGCTTTAGTTATTTGTCTTTTTGCGCTATACTAGGACAACTTTTATTTATAAATCATCCAGAAATGAAATTTAATCTAGGACTGCCCTTGTAATTATAAATTATCCAATAAAGTGTATGCAATTTTTAGATTCAAACAGATCTCTTAGATTCTCCGTTACACAAGGAGGGCACAACTCATTTTCCTTTTCTTTCAAAACCCTAAACCCTTTCGAAACCTTGAAAAATATGTATAAAATATAAACCCTTCCCTGCCGCCTTCCATATGTGAGATATAAATAATTTAGTTATACTGTTTGTGTTTTCTTTTTTTCTCTAAACCCTTAGGGTTGTGACAATGAAACAATATCAAAGACGAAATTTGTCCGATTTTCTGTAAAATACCGATTTTGCTCTAAACCCTTAGTTTCAGAAGAAATCTGGGTAGCGCGTTTCTCCCCCCGTTAAAATTTTACTAACATTATAAATGGGAGATTGTGTACCTTCATCCTCTCAGACTAAAACCACACTCCCCGCAACTTCCGAGACCGCGAGGTAAACTAGTAACGTTTTACTTTTTTTTGGTTTTGAGAGCAATGGAGGGCTTGACAAATACTTCTTCAAATCCATCAAAGCCTGCTAGCACTCCGGTGTCCTTTCGAAATTATTATTCTTTTTGAGCAGTGCGAATAAGCAATGACATTTTTCTGACGACCGGAAAATGAACCTGCTCAAAGCTTCCAACCTCCCCGTGAGCCTTTGGACTTCCTTTACGTTTGACAGTTGGTCCGGAATGTCTTCTATGACCTTGATTTTATCGGGGTTTACCTCAATTCCCCTTTGTGAGACTAGAAATCCCAAAAACTTACCAAAGCTAACCCCGAACGCGCATTTCTCGGGATTAAGTTTTATATTATGCTTACTCAGGATGTTGAAATTTTCTTACAGATATTTAAGGTGATCACCTGTATTCAAATACTTAACGAGCATATCGTCTGTATAAACTTCCATAGTTTTTCCTATTTGATGTTCAAACATCCTATTCACGAATTGCTGATAAGTGGCTCTGGCGTTTTTCAACCCGAAGGGCATGACATTGTAACAATATGTACTGAAATTCAGTATAAACGAAGTCTTTTCCTGATCTTCCGGGTTCATTTTAATTTGGTTTTACCAGGAATAAGTATCGAGAAAACTTATTAACTCGTGCCCGCCGTGGAATCAATCAGTTGATCGATATTTTACAGTGGGAAGGAGTCTTTCGGGCACACCTTATTAAGATCTTTATATTCTACACCCATGCGAAATTGATTGTTCTTCTTAGGAACTTCTACTACATTGGCTAGCCAGTCTGGATATCTTACCTCTCGGATCGAACCGATATTAAGTAAGCAGGTTACCTCTTTTTTGATGAATTTATTCCTGGCTTCGGCAATATGGCGTTTCTTTTGCCTTACTGGAGGTATGTTGGGATCCAAGCTTAACTTGTGTATGACTACCTCCGTCGGGATGCCTGGCATATCCTCATGCGACCATGCAAAATAATCGGTATTAAATTTAAGAAATTCAATAAAATCAGACCTGAGCTCTGGGTGCATTCCCGTCCCCAAGTGGAATTTCCTTTCTAGAAATTCTTTGAACAATGTAAATTGCTCCAGTTCTTCCGCCATGGATTTCGTTGCATCCGTCTCTTTTGGAACTTGAAAATATCTCGGCACCTGATAATATTCTGACGCCTCTGTCCCCGGGCTAACTTCTTCTAGTTCGGGAGTATGTGCCGGTTCCTGTAATTGCTATGCCGCATGTTCCTTTCCTTTGCTACTGGAGACCGAATTACATTTATCTCCCTCACCGCCGGTTGATCACCCCTTATCTGATTAGTTCCCTCGGGCATTGGAAACTTCAGCAATTGATGATATGTTGATGGTACAACTTTCATATCGTGCAACCACGGTCTTCCTAGAATGATGTTTCATCCTATATTATCATCTACCACTTCGAAAAGAGTTGTTTTCATTACTCCTTCAGCGTTCGCGAGTAATATAATTTCTCCCCGGGTTGTCACGCTTGTGAGGTTGAATCCGATGAGGAGCTTCGTGGCCGGAATGATGCTTCTAGTATATTTAGCTTGCTCCAACGCTCTCCACTGTATGATATTAGCCGAACTTCCTGGATCTACTTGAATGCGTTTAATTTTAAAATCTAGCATATTTAAAGAAATTACCAGAGCGTTGTTGTGTGGTAACAGCAATCCGTCTGTTCCTTCCTTCGTAAAAGTGATATCATCTTCCCAGAGCCTTTTACTATGAGTTATTGTCACTTTAGTCTTCTTTGCTGCTGAGAATGTGACCCCATTTATCTCATTCCTTTCGAAGATCATGTTGATCGTTTAGTGTGGGGGGATCTTATCCTGCTTTTGAGGTTTCTGCATTGTCCCAGTTACGACCATAATTGTTCTTAGCTCGGTCACTTAAGAATTCTCTAAGGTGATCATTCTTCAAAAATGTTTCCACTTCTTCCCGGAGGTGTCGGCAGTCCCCTATCCTGTGGCCATTCGTCCCATGGTATCACACCATAAGTTGGGATACTTCTGGCTAGAATTAGATCTCTTTGCTCAAAAACTGTGCCTCTTTGATGTTTCTCATGACTGAAACCAATTCCGTTATACTTACATTGAAGTTGTATTCCAATAACTTGGGGTAAGAAGGACCCTGTGACCCTGACGTTTCTTGATCCTCCAATGATCTATTGTTCTGACCACGATCAGTCCTCCTGTCCATGATGAACTTGTCCATTGTCCGGAAACCTTTGCCATAGCTTTCGGTCCGTTTGTAGGGAAAAAACTGACCCCTTGAAGTCTGTCTGTCCGTGTCCTAACCATCTTTTGATTTTTTTCTGTTCTTCTCCCGTCCTTTGGTCGATGATGGAAAGCCAACCTGATCATCCTCGATCCTTATTTTTGACTCGTATCGGTTGTGGACATCCGCCCAAGTCATTGCTTGAAACTCAAGCAGGCTTTCCTTCATTTTACGAGAAGCATCTGAACTTATCAGATTCAATACCTTTGTGAATGCTTCAGCTGCCCACTCATCCGGGACATCTAGGAGCAACATGCTTTCCTTCTGTAATCAGATAACGAATTCTCGTAGTAACTCAGACTCTCCTTGCGCAATCCTGAATATATCGACATTTCAGGCCTGTACTTTTCTGGCCCCGACATGAACCTTGATGAAAGAGTCCATGAGCATTTCAAAGGAATCTATGGAATGCTCGGGTAACAGTGAATACCACGTCAAGGCTCCCCTCGTAAGAGTTTCTCCAAATTTCTTTAGCAACAAAGATTCAATTTCGTGAGGAGCTAAATCATTTCCCT